GCATGTCTAGTGGGAAATATTTGTCATAGTTGAAAGCTTTCTTTTTACTTTTGCCTACTATCGGATTGTTATCAAAAAAACATCAGCAAAACAATGTCCGCTCACTTTTATCATCACCTCCCCTCTGGATATCACGTCGAATCCTCCAGTTACAAGGAGTAAATTCTTCGCGTCAGGTGATAAATGGATCATCCCGGCTGGAAATGAAGAAATGTGAAATTTGCACGAATAGCATTTGAATGCTGCATCATATTAACCACTATCATTCTCAAGTTTCTTCCCTTTTTTTCTCTTTTTTCCTTTTTGGCAGGAATTCAGCTTTTAATAACTTTCATCATTTTCACCTGCGAGTGGAATGTTGGCATCGTAGTAGATTGGCCACCAAGAAAGATTCATGAGACTGCGTCTTACTCCACACATACTTACCAAAAAGAGATTTCTCATATGTTTTGTTTATCGAACGTCACTTGAAATGGCGAAGCGAAATGTGGGACCAGGGACAGTGCTAAGCAGGAAATTTGAAAGCGAGCTGCACCAACGCAACGTTGAGATGATGGAGAACGAACAGTAAAGAAATATGCGAAGATTGTTTAGAGCTCGCATGCTTTCAGAAACTTATGAAATAACCCCAACAACTGACGAGTAAACTGAGCAATTCAAAGAAATATATAAAACAAGATTTTAGGGGACCCTTACATTTCAAATCCAAGTAATAATTATGTAAAACGTTTGTCTTAAAAAAAATTACGATATTTGAGGAAGAGAATCTGAAAACAGAACGTTTTCCGTTGCTTTCCATTCGGCTGGCCGTGTTCACGGTGTCACCGAACAGACAATATCGAGGCATCGTTTGGCCTACAACTCCTGTCACCACGGAACCTATAAACAAACTGTTAATAAGTGCTGTATTATTCATCGACCCATTAAATACTATGGTGGAAGTCGTTCTTTAATGTTCCAATAATTGTTTACCAACGGTTTACACCCTCATCATGGCTTGGAGGTGGTCCTGGGTGTCGGACCGTGATGTACAGATGTGGGATTCATCGCCCTGGTAGGGTCTCCCAAGCTGAGAAGGAGTCCGGTATTACTACCGTGAAGCTTAGCTAAGAGTAAACAATACTAGGATCCACCACCGTTCTGGTATCAAATTAATCTCATGGTGGCAAGTCTCCATCTGATCCACAAAGGCTACGACTGCCTGCAGTGGTGAAGACTTTAGCCAGGCTGACCTCGAGATTCCAGGGAACCACAACAGCTAAGCCAGCAGATCTCCGAAGAATGGAAATTATGCTGGTGCCCGCACAAGCACTGAAGGCGAACCGTCTAAGTATCCAAGTAAGTATTATCGTTTATTAAGATTAGTACTGTTATTATTTTATTAATATTATTATTATCTAAGAGCGGATAGCACAGTGGTAATGATGTCGGTTATCACGATCGTGGTGTAACTTTGGTTGCGTTTCTGACCAACCAAGCCTCTCGTTCCTCCGGGGTCGGAAAATTGGTACAGTACTTGTCCGGGCAGGAATTAATTCCTGGAATCCAAATAGGAACGCTGAAGCCCTGTAATCCTAAGACTACAGGGAGAGAGAATTGGTCGACCAGTATTCCACGACATTCGAAATGAAATGAAAATCTCCAAGTACCGACGGAAGCCACACGTAAAAACTTGAAAGACCGTGGATGATGGACGCGAGGAAACAAATCGAATGTGGGAAGTTCTGTGATCCGCACAGTAGACGTGAAAACGGGTCATATAAAACAAAATAAAAAATATTATTTGCTTCGATACATAGACAAGCAGTCGACGCTATCGTGGGTCAGAGGGAGAATTGTCATCATACGACTAGTTTGATAGCAGGACGGTCGTGAATTCTCATGTTGGTTTACTCTTAGCGGGGCTTCCTAGTGAAAGAATCCTCGCGCTGTGCATCACTGCTCGATAACCAGAAACAACTCTCAGTCATGATAAGGTGATAAACCTTTAGGAGGATCATCATTAATACAATCATTGATACTAATTCGATCAAAATTACTGTTACTATTACTATGTTTAACGTTTTGTTTTCTGCCTTCTATAATTTTCATGGCAGGTTACCAAGCGAAATACAACCACAACGCTGCTGAGATATTTGCAAAACTCTGGACCGCAGGTGTCTATGGTGGGGAACGAACGCGCTATTATCCTTTCCGGGGAGTAACGCGTTCACCACCACACTATGCGGGTGCTTCGTTTCGCCTGTCTCTCAGCTATTTCTATCGATCTTTTTGCCATCAGCAATCACCCGTCAACGGGATTGATCTGGGAAGCCCAAATCGGCATTGAATCCAGTTAAAAAAAGATCGATAGAACTAGCTGAGAGACAGGTAAAACGAAGGACCCGGATGGTGTGGTGGTGAAGTGCGCTGCTTCCCGGTAAGGACAACAGAGCGTGTTCGTTTCCCACCGTATACACCTGCGGTCCTGAGTTTTGCAAATATCTCAGCATTACATACAAATTATTATTATCATTATTATTATTGTTTGTTATTATTATTATTTATTATTATTATTGTTATTGTTATTATTATTATTATTATAATCCAGACGCTCTCGTCACGCATATTTTGTTTTAACCAGAGTTAAACTCGACCTGTGTGCACTCCAATTCTGAGGTTGATTCTGTCGTTTGGTAAATGTGGTATGGTGAAATTCCCAAGACTGTTCATAAACTCAAGCGACATGTTGCAGATCTCCTTGATATGTTCGTGGCCATTTCTATGAGGCAATCCACTCACGCAGAGGTAACCATCGCCAATTGTCTCCACCTTTCAAAATGAGAAAGAAACGTTTACTTACTATGTAATATTAAAAACATGATATAAATCACAACAGGAAGAAAGCAGTGATGTTAATTCACCTTGTACACATCGTGTGCGTCGATTATACTGTCGAAAATCGTGTACAGGTTATTCAGCAGGTTAACAACCTTGAAAAAGTGGTAGAATACAATGAACGGAAAGAGATATGTCGTTTTCAGTTCGAACACGTTTGTAAAAATAGGCAGAGCAAAAGGCGACGAACTACTTAACCCCTTTGTGAGAAAGCAAGTTAACGCTTTCGATAACTGACGACATCTTCTTGATCACTGGGGTATTGCAGGAGTTCAGAGCTTTACAAATTTGTGAGAGAAATTGTTTATCAAGCTTGTGTAAGTTTATCAAAAAAGAATACATGTTGATTAGTAGTACCGAGGTTAAAGGGAAGTCGTTTTGAAATATAGCCTTTTCAACAGTTTGCCGCAAGATGAACGTGTCCAAAAAGGGGTTTTTGCAAATTATTAAGTGTACAGGGCATCTTTTCACCGTGTACGCTTCATATAACACATGTGTTGTGTAAGCCGTATCGATTGAGTACGAAAAGCGCGGCAGAAAAGCACTGTGGAACAAAATGAACAGCCGAAGAGACGTGCATAGAGTTCAATGCACATGTTCTTCATATAATAACAGTTTTCATGACAGAGAGGTCGTGAGCCATTCAACAACCATCTGAAGCGAGAATTAAGGCTGGACAGAAGGTATTGAAACTGGAGGACAGATTAACTTTCATCTTTTCAATAATTTCTCGCCATTTGAAAGAGGGTGGAAACTGGTAATGCTCGAAAAATGAAAAATAGGTAAGAAAAACTTAAGCGTATAAGTAATATGTAATAATATAGGCAAACAAAAAAAAAAGTATAATCCACTGGATTTCTACATGACCACATGACAACCATTTAGCATGTGTTCTACAGGTAACACTGCAAAAGTTGAACGAATTGGGTAAGAAGTGATTGTCTCAGCCTTCTCATCACTGCTATTCAAATCCACAAGCATTTTTGAGCCAACCAAGAAGCCCCACAAACTTATGTAAATGGTAACAAATCACGTCCATTTCGCATGGATTACGGATTTACTACAACATATAGCATTTCAAGGCGCAAAGGATCGATAGTTTTCTTCTTCTCCTTCCTTCTCTCCCTTCGTCTCTCTTTCTCTCTATATATACGTACATATATATATATATATATTGTAAGCGAACAGCCTGTTTTCTGAGACCAGAAAGCAGGAACATCAAGAAAGTTTAAGGTCTATGCTCTCAGCAGAATTCCGCTTTTCTCTTCGCTTATAATTTACTAAGCAAGGAAAAAGCAAACAGAACAAAGACATGCCTGCATGGGAGTGCCTTTTGCGGCGATAGTCGTGAAAGACACGACGTCCGAAAAGAACACGGTGACACTGTCGAATGTTTCTGGCTCCACATATAGACCAAGTTTCAGCTTTTCGGCCACTTGTCTGCAATGTTCATATTTTTAATACTTACGTACAGAAACATTTGATTGCCTGTGCAGAGATTCAGAAATGAAGCCAGGACAACTATAACTAATCAACATACTGTTTTGATTGTGTTTTTTTCCTAGCCCCAACATCCCATCGTTACCCGGAGGTGTCGCGGATATATAGTAGGATTCTTCTCCTAGCGCGATCTCTCTTCTAATTTTGGTTTAACGCTGGTTCGTGCGTATTGTGTGCCTCTTTTTTTTTGGTTGCCACGCTGGACTTTTATTGAACTCGACAGTTCAGAGGGTCAACGTTGAGTTATTAAACCTTTCATTCAAATAATATTTGCACAGTAATAACAATGCAGTAGTATGAACAAATGTGTATACAAATAGTATAAACGAATAAGCAGTGTAAGATGAATGGACATTCCTTAGATTTGCCGATGTGTCGAAAATTCCCTCTTTTATAAAAGAAGTTTTAGAATAAAGGCGATCTGCTGCTTCAATTTAATTTATTAGCACTGCTTCCACACACTTCACTTCAAATTCCTACTTTCACTGTCGAGAAAAGTGGTCAAAAGCCTGTTCATTGATGTCATTAAAAGGTTACGGCGAATGACGATGGACTTCATCTTAAACTGGATCTATAGTTTTGTGCTTAATATTAAGTGACTTCTTCATCAGGTTCCCCGTTTTGCCGTTGTTGAAACTACCAGATAAAGCTTAAGCTGTGCGTCGGTGTGTTGAACTTTGGTAAGCGTTGCTGGGGATAAAGGTATGTCGCTGAACGTAAAGGTGCGTAGGTTAGCTTTGTGTGGGTAGTTAGGCATAGGCATGTGCCTTGAGCCTAGACGTGTGTAGTTGAGCACAAACGCCGTGTGCTTGCGTGTAAACGTAGTTGTTGCTGTTTAGGCCTAATTTGGGTAATCAAACATTTATGTCAGTAACGCTAACACAACAATAACAACTCACTGATATATACTCAACCAATTACTTACACAACCCAACAAGAAAGCCTGAAAATAAGTTCAAACTACATTGAACACACCTTCATTAGACATACAACACTTACTCTTATTAATGATGGAGACGAACAACATAGAGTTTACATGAGTGGACAATGTGCCCATCTCACGTTAAAAGATCAATGTAAGGTACTTCCTGGAACTACGACTGATATCGTAAAAATTCAGAAATGAATTACGGCTAGGAATGCCTTATTATTACGCAAAACCTCATACAATATCCCAGATTTGTATTTAAAAATAAAAGGCATATTACCACACATGTAAACTCTGTGTAACTGGTATCCATTGATAAGTGGAAGACTCACACAAAACGGCGAGTGTCTAATGAAGATATGCCAAAGGCGACTGAATTTAGGTTTTCCATTTGTCTGCGGGTTACGTGAGTACTTGGCTCAGTGGATTGTGTATCATCTTGACCATTCCAAATTCTGACGAAGGTCAAATTCGCCCAGCTTATAGCTATCATGAAAGGAGTGGTATAACAACAACCTCGTGTCCGTTCATCAATAAAGAGTAAAGGATAAATGTGCCGTTCATCAATAAAACATTAAATTGTTGATCAATGTTGAGGTCAATGAACAGGGGGCCTCAGAAAGTGCTAAAGCAGCCCGAGCTACCGATGGTGCCTTTGTACTGTAATTTCGTATCGTAGATCGAATACAGCTTACAGAAAATCTAAAGCTACTTGATGCATGACGAGACTTGGTGATAAAAGTGATAGAGATGACCACTTGAAAGAGACGAATAGGCTTTTCTAGCACTTTCCACCATCAAAAAGAAAGTGAGCGCTCAATTCCATTTGCGTTTCTAGTCACTTCAAAAACAGGTTAAACTTTGAGTAGACGAAAAAAGCTGTAAACATTTGCTTTCTTAGTTTACTGACCAACGCGGAAATGTTTTCCTGGCGGTCTTTACACTGACTAGGAATTAGACCTATTTGCCTCAATGTGAAGTGTTATTAACTGAGCGACTTTGCTGCAAAGTATTGCCCTAGCTCTGCTGGTAGAAGTGTGAGACAGCTTAAACTAATTTGAAGAAAAACTCTTCGGCAACAAAATAGGGAACATGACCAGATTGTCGCTTCAAACACTAGTGCTTACCTAGGCAGCATCCTATAGAGTAAAATATCGCTCTTCTTCTTCTCTTCCATTAATTCTTTCGTTCTCTCTGCGACGTCTTCCTCTAGAGTAGATGCATACCGCTCGAGCATATTGAAGACATAGTCCATCAGATTGTTGCATCTTAACCAGTTCCTTCGATAATATTTCTGTCTACTTCAACAACAATTTTGGATTTAAAATTATTTCAATGATTAGCCACATAGGTTTTATTTGAAGCTGTAAGATAATTATGGTATTTTTTACACAATGACCATAATCTGCACTGCATATTGCTCTTTCGTGAATAGTACTTAAGAAGGACCAGCAAAGATTTCTATCTAGCGTACAGAATGTTTCACGTCTCGAAGTCTAGATCGTTAGCAGAGATGTTCACCTGTTCGTATGCATATCCTTCATAAGCGATTTCACCGCAGTGATCGTTGGCCTCTCAGACGGACATTCTGCCCAGCAGTCACGGATCAGATGAAGCTAGGAAATTTTTTTTAAACAACTGCGACGACACAGTGCTAAAACATGCCGATGAGTACGTTAACTGAGATTTCTTCGCTTTCTAATTTACCTTCAGTACGCAGTAGGCAGTGTACGTTTGATCAGAAAGAATGAACAAAAAATTCCGTCTTAATCCTCATTCGGAAAAAGACTACTTTTATTCAATGATTCGATATCAACAGTTACTGAAGCATTGAATATCACAATGACAAACGATTAAGCTGGACCATTTCAGTAAGTGGAAAATAGGGATTCGATCCCAGAAGCGAAGTCTGCGAGCGGAACGTTATCTTTTTTATTAACACTTATGCGTCAACACTTAATTTTGCTTTGTTCTCTCGTGGAAGATTCCTAGTTCCATGTCGTTACACAATTGTTCATATTTTAAAAGTAGACGGATAACACTTACACAATCAAGTAATTTTTTTCGTATTTTTGTTGAGCAAACGCGAGGTGTTACTATTCTTTGTTCATGATTAAGCTGACGTTTCGGCGGATTTCGCCTTCTTCAGAGCCTGGAAAGGTCAAGTTGATAGCAACTCACTCGGCCAGACGCCTCCATAACCAAACAAAGAAACTCCAAACCAAGATTTCAATCACTTTGAACACAGATTTGTAAACTCGCCGCTTCCTATGAGGTTTCCACTAAGTATGTCACGTAGAGACCAACCGCACAGAAATCACGTGGAAGTATAATGTGCCCCTCACATCAGAAAAGCAGTTTTATATACTGCCCTATATCACGCGTGATAATGAGGCATTCTTCCCTGCAGTTCATTTTCGGATTTCTGGAATTAATCCAGAGTGCATCGAGAGTTTTTCGCGCCTGTGTTCTTGATTCGCGTGCGAGAATGGCTACGAAACTGTAGCTCAGGATAGGTGTAGAGGAAATCGTAGGCCTCCAAACGACAACTCTAGCGATAGAAGGGTCCCGTTTATCCTACCCTTCATCTCAAATGATATAAGTACAGCTATAAAACGCTGCTTAAGATGGGCGGGCTTAGAGAATTCGGTGAGCGTAGTTGAAATACCACCGAGTAATCTTAACCGCCAGCTAGTTCGTAACCGCCTATATGACCGTCTATGTGCAACTCAAAATTGCATAATTTGCCCCAGTGGTAGAGACGGTGATTGCATAAGCTCGGGTATAGTTTATCTGATCTCCTGTAAGACGTGTGGTGACGAATACATTGGCGAAACGGGTAGACCCCTCTGTGTCCGCATGAAAGAACACCTAGCCGGCAAAAATAGACCAAATACCCCGCTAGGCACGCATAGGACCCAGAGACATAACGGGGACGACTTCGAAGTATGTGTCACGATCCTCGCACGCGAATCAAGAACACAGGCGCGAAAAACTCTCGAGGCACTCTGGATTAATTCCAGAAATCCGAAAATGAACCGCAGGGAAGAATGCCTCATTATCACGCGTGATATAGGGCAGTATATAAAACTGCTTTTCTGATGTGAGGGGGACATTATACTTCCACGTGATTTCTGTGGGGTTGGTCTCTACGTGACATACTTAGTGGAAACCTCATAGAAAGCGGTGAGTGTGCAAGGCTGTGCTCAAAGTGATTGAAATCTTGGTTTGGGGTTTCTTTGTTTGGTTATGGAGGCGTCTGGCCGAGTGAGTTGCTATCAACTTGACCTTTCCAGGCTTTGAAGAAGGCGAAATCCGCCGAAACGTCAGCTTAATCGTGAACAAAGAATAGTAACACCTCGCGTTTGCTCAACAAAAATACGAAGAAAATCACTTGATCAATGTCGAGGTTAATAGAAAGTCGGTCGTGGCACTTACACAATCAGATGGCTTGAGTGGTAAGAACATCAAATGTTTGTAGAGAGGACTCTTTCTTCGCTGTGCTAGTATAATTGGAGTGTATGTTACTATTCACTATATGCTACTGTTATGGGTCCATTGTACAAGCATATTGCTATCAGCACTTGAAATGGTTCTGTAACTTGTGCTAAGGCTATTCCCACTTTTTATACCTGCAAGTTCTTAAACTACGATTCATTACAGCGATTGAAGTTGAAGCTGCAGTCAATCGTCCGTCAAATTACCAGACAATGAACTTGTTTGAGAAAATATTCCTTGGCTACATCACGCGCTGAAAAGAGCTTTCTCCTGCTCATGCCCATCACAGCATCTGTTGAACGAGCTATTGATTGATTGCACGAAGTGCAGGAAAAGCGCTCTTTGAGCTATACCGCGCAAAATTTGCTCTCCCAAATGACTGCTATAGAACCCACATCGTCGGGCAAATGCTAATCTTCTAAGTATTATCACTGTGAGGTGGTGTGCATCAAGGAGAAAGTTATATAGAGAATTCCCCAATCGGATAGAGAATTCTCTATCTACATAACTAATACAGCCAGGTGATCGATGGAGACTGCGTGGCTGCAACGCCGCGCGCGTCTTCTGCGTCCATATCCCCTTCTGGCCATAGGGCACACCGGGCGCTTGGACGTAGCCACGCTCAATAGCACCGTCATTTGGCCTGACGACGCTGTGGAGATCACCGTCACCAGCTCCATCATTATTTTCCTCCCGTTTCATCCTTCCTTGCGAATTTATTTGCTCAGGTCATAATGATAGTACGTGTAATCCTTAGCCCTTGCTTCGCTGATACATTAATGTTATCGTTGGTTTTTGTGTAATTACGTTGTGTGTGTTAACATAAGTTAAATACTTTCATTGCTCACAGGTACCTCACAAACGGTTCATCGCTCTTGCGTACTCTTGCGAGCGCCTTTCAAATCTCTCCGCCGTGAGCCGTTACATTGGTGTGTGTACTATTCTTAATGCATTTTATTAGGTAACAAACCCACTGAACCACCTCATTTGCAGTTCATTAAACAGACATTGTGTATCGCATTGCGTTGTTGTGTAAATAACATGCGTATACTAATAAAAGGTTTAATTACCCAAGGTTGAGGTACCTCACAAATGCCTCATCGCTTTTGTGCACTCTCGCAAACGCCTTTCACAATTTTGCGTTGTGAGCCGTTACAAGTTATACCTTACGTCAAATAAAATTTCCATGACTTCCAAAGTGAAGATGTTGAACGGTATTTCCAAGAAGCTACCGCGACACTGACAAAGTTTTTTCTTGAACAAGAGCAACGCATACTTCAGAAACAGCAAAATCAACGTTTTTCCTCTATCTATTTACCTTGTCAAACCCAATAACGCCAGAAATTTAAAACGAGTCTTTTGGAATCCAACCACAGTGAAGCTGATGTATTTGCAAAACAAGGACCCTAGGCTAGATTCGCACCCGCGATTACACTTTCCGGATGCTCTCGTTTTACCCACTGTCTGCTGAGACCCTTGTTTTGCCTTTCTGTCAGCCAGTTTTTTTTACCCTAACGGTGCCATCAGCAACCGCCCGTCAAGTGGAATGATTTAGGAGCGCAACTCTTTTAGTATCACTTTCACAGGTGGAAATTCCCAGCTGAGATTTCACAAAAAATATTGTACCTGGTTGTCATAAGACAGTGTTTCTGCTTCCAAAAATTAAGCTTCTCTAAAACATACTTCCATTTTTGTCTTATTCTGATAATGCCAAGCCATGCCTACGGATCATGTATTACTGAGGAGGTTGTCTAAAACTCCATTCATAATTCTCCTAAATCACCTTTGTATACACGTCCGCTTTTGAATTTCCCTGATCGAACTTGCCTCTCAACCGAGTCCGCTTTTAAACAAGCAGATGCGGAATGACAAATCGAGCAATCCTGTTGTGGGAGTTTGATATTCGAGAGCTTGCAACTGCCATCATTGCCATAGATTTTTTCCAATTACAAATAGTAAACGAACCAGTGACTGATTGACTTCTATTTCTCCATCCAAGGTTAATGATGGACGACAAGGCGAGTGTCCTCCTCTCTTGACCATGTATAGAATTTCTATAACACAAATTGAGAATAAAACTGTTTGAAAACCAAAATTTTGAAGCGAAAACAAACTGAATGTAAAAGAGCGAAAAAAAACTTGAGAAAAATTAAAAAAGGAACTCCAAACCGCTCAATACCGCAGTACATAAACGGCTTCTTCAGGAAATTTTCCACAAACGCGAGAACCGAAAAAATTTGCAGCCACACTTCTGTTACCTATTCATGCGTTCCAAACGAGTTGAGCCCTTCATAGATAACCAGTACGAGGCAGGGCAGTCAAAAAATCTTTTCTACGATAAAGTTTCACCGAAAAGAATAGCCCGTCTAAGTCCAAATTCAATCTTTTCAAAACACACACCACCGTAAAGTGAAGTGTTTAGCCCTTTAGGCTTTCCCATAACCCATGAATAAGATCCAGAGAGTCAGCGCACCATAAAATAAACACATTCTTAACTGAATAGAAAATGTAACTTTTATAAAATTTGTAAAGACGAACTGAAAGAAAAAAACGGAGTAAAAATCGACTACCATCGGCATCTTCCTTTCGATTACTAAGATCCCACGGTGACGATTTTGTGACGAGCTGAGCACTTATGATGGCAAAACTGTAACAGTCCTCTTAGAAAATCTTTATAAAAAAAGTGCTACTATACAATTTGGATGGCTTTCAGCGTATTTTGGTGTAAAAACGGCCTACAGATATGTTCTAGGAAGATGGCAGTCAATGCACACACATGTAAAGTAACTCACCTATAAATATCGCCTTCTTGTGAGCCAATCATGACATTCTGGCGTAGTATTTCAGGTGCTGTCCAAAGCAAATCTAAAACGTTAATCCTGAGACAAAACGGTGTTACTCACTTAAAAACGCCCTCCTTAGAGAGCTCATCTTTAGAAACCGAGTGAAGCTATCATAAGATCCAATAGTGAGGTGTTTCTTTAGTTGGACAGGTTTCTCCTCTCTGGAAAACTGTGTGACCCTTGCCAGATTATGAAGGCATTACCATAAACATCCCATGCTTTAATTCTTAGATTACCAAACAAAAAACACAACAAGGATGTCAACAACTCTTTCCGGATTTTTCCGCTTAATAAAAAATTGTCTATCAAAAAGGCTAGTGTCGATGTACATACGTTATGCAGGTCGATGATACGATAAGACATGTGCATGGAAGCTATGTTTACAGCGATATAATTCCTCTTGCTTTTAACAACGGAATCAGCAGCAACCATGAACCATTGTATTGGAGCAAAAGGATAAAAGATGAAGCTCTCGGCGTTGGTCGATCCCTTAAGGATGTGCCATTCATTCTACTTCATTACGCATTGCTGGAGATGACCGAATGCATATCTGGCTTTTATAATAACTCACGGAGGACCAACAATCTATTGCGCAAGTGCTGATATGCTCCCAGACAAGTCTGGTACTAATTTGGCGGCCCCGAAAAGATGGAAGGCGTGGTGGGTCATGAAGGCGCAAATTGATCCCATGTGTATTGCAGAACGCCTCCGACTACTGCGCCCTGCGTGCATAGTTTATTGGAGCACAAGGAGAAATTACCAGCAAGATTTCTCAACAGCAACTATCTGTATAGTTAGGGAAACGGATGTCCAACCAAATAACCTTAGCATTAATAATTGATTTACTCAAATCTTACGAGCTACACTTGTCAAATTTATCGCGGAGCTGTCCCATATATTCTTGAAATTAAGCTCAAGCGTTTCAGCGGCTTTGCCTTCTTCGGAACCTGGGGTTATTTCATATAACTCTGCCCTCATCTCGTATAATGCTGAGATATTTGCAAAACTCCGAGCCGCAGGTGTTTGCGGTGGGGAACGAAGGCGTTATTGTCCTTTACGAGAAGTAGCGCGTTCTCCACCACACCATCCGGATCACCCGTCAACGGGATTGATCTGGGAGCCCAAATCGGCATTGAACCCAGTTTAGCTGAGGCTATAGTAGTAATCACAATCTTAACCTTTTTGCTTACTGCCTATTCTTATTAATGGTAGGGTATGTTGCGAAATATAACTCGTATAATGCGGGTAATTGCTGATGGCATAAGATCGATAGAACTAGCTGAGAGACAGACGAAACCAAGGACCCGCATGGTGTGGTGGTGAACGCGCTACTCCCCGGAAAGGACAATAGCGCGTTCGTTCCCCACCGCAAACACCTGCGGTCCTGAGTTTTGCAAATATCTCAGCATTATACGAGTTATATTTCATAACATACCCTGCCATTAAAAAGAATAGGCAGTAAACAAAAAGGTTAAGATTCTATCCTCAGCATTTGGTGAAATGACAACAGTATTATTGAAGACCTAATGCAGAAATGAATGGCAATATGTTAAGCCATCTGCCGCATTCGCTGTGTGAGTTCTGAGACCATCCTTGTGCTGTTTCAAAAACATCAGACTGCGAGAAGTGCCAAGTCACATGTGATGGTGAGGTAATCGTTATGTTGATCCCTTTATGGAATTTTGAAGTTTATCCAGGAACATCAAGAGTTTTACGCACTGACGTTTTTCACTCCATCTCCAGGATCGTAACATTCACTTCAAGATAAGCACTCCCATGTTTTTGTGTCGTTCATATACCTATAACAATACGTGGTACCTGTTCCACCAATGTATTCATCACCGCCTTCCTTACCTAACATTAAGTATGTTGTACTTGAATTCATGCAATCTCCTACTCTGCCGTTAATGCAAATCACACAATTTTCATGTTAAATCATAATGGCGGCTGCGAACTAAGTGGCAGCATAGAGCATTCGGTAAGAGTTCAATAACCGTCATATGACTTTCAAAACCACTTTTTCTTAAGCATCAACTAATGGCGTAACTTAGTTCGTTTGATATAAAAAGAGACTTGAAAGGCATCTTAGATATGATTATTTTGGGAAATGACTCTACCTCAAGGTCTGACCTGAGTGGTTTCTGCTTCGTAGCCATTGGAAATGAGTAACTACGTGCCAAGTTTAGCGATACCTCGCTTTTCTTTTCTACTGTGCACACATTTACAGCCATCTGGTACATACTTTTGTTAAGTGTGCTTTATGTGTGAAGGATAAGAAAAAAGTTATAGCACTAGAATATTTTAGCCATTTGGTTTTTGAAACCATTTCCTGATGTAGCCATTCACTGAAAACACTATTTCGATGACTAACAATGGAAGACAGCTCTCGCGTATGTTTTACATACTCCCACCGCCTATTTAACATTTCAAAGCTATCTCTTCTTGTGTACAGCAAGCAATGAAGGAGTTGTCTATCTACTTACAGAAGAAGTAAGAACGGAGCTAATGGTCTAGAAAAATTAGTGGCAGTTATTAAACTCCCACCTAATACCTTAAGTCATCAGTTAGTCCACGAGCATCCCCATGACACTTGAAAAATTGTATAACTTGCCTTAACAGCAGGGACGAAGATTGGATGAGTTCAGGCACAATATACCGAATCTCATATAAGATATACAGCGATGAATACACTGACGAAACGAGTGCACCACTAGTCTCCACATGAAACAATGTCTAGAGAGAGGTTAAAATCCTAGCAAATACATCAAAATACACTCAGGAGACAAAAACACATTGGTGATGAGCCACGAACCTGCCGCAGGAATTAAAAGCATCGAAGCACAAAACCCTTAAGATATCAAGACAGATGACAGATTTTGAAGTTCAAAAACGAACTGAGAAGAGGAATATCTCACTATCAGGCGTAACTTTACATCTTTTCTCCGAGCGATCTTTTTCGAACAAAGACCTCTTCATATTCATCACTTAACACAACCGAGATGATTGCCAATTTCCACCGATTCGCGGCAAATTTACGATGCCAAATTTTTTGCCGCGATAAGGCGTGACTAATGTAACTCCTACACAGTTTTAAGATTTGAAGCTTCACTTCAAGCCCACAGAGCAGCAACTTCATAGTACTTTCTCGCAAGAAACAATCTGTAACAGTACTCTATCTATATAGTAAGCAAACAATCGTAGCAAGAATTGCATTTGTGTTTATACCACGTATTATTTTTTGCAATAGCGCGCGTGTAGAGCGGTGGTCGGAGGCACCCTGCAACACACACGTGAAATTGATCCCGGCGGCCATGGCCCACCAACCCTTCCATCCCTCCGGGTTCGGTAAATTGGTAGCAGACTTGTCTGGGAGGATAGCAACACTGTCTCGATACAAAGGTAGGCCACGGCGAGTCACTGTAAAGGCCAGATATGCATTCAGTCACCTCCAAACGATGCTTAATGAAGTCGAATGCATAGCGCATCCCTCAGAGATCGATCAACGCCGAGAACTTTGTCCTTTTTTATCTTGATTTTGCATACCACATTCTTGATCGGCTAGTCCAAAAGCTTAGGTTATTTACGGCTAGTTGACGCATTTTTAAGCAAATCGCCAACTCCTTGATAGCTTTCTTCCAGGTCGTTTTTTCCTCTAAAGTCCGTTACTTCACTGACCATCATTTGTCTTTAAGTCGCATTATGGAGCAGTTTTTTTACTCTCACTCAGCATCATTGTGGTTGTACTTCACATAATAGCCTTCCGTGAGAAAGGTAATGGGAAATAGGAAAAGTAATATATTCTAATGTAGTTTATTATTAGTATTAGTATTAGTATTATTAGTATAATTATTATTATTAATGAATTGTAGTTCATTACCCAGCATAAATAGACATCGAAACAGTACCTTCTGGCAAGAATTTGTCGAAATTACGAATTTTCTGTAGACCATAATTGGATATTTTCACTTGCCAGCGATCATCGATCAGGCAACACTTAGAGGTTAAAAAGCCGTGGTAACGTAGAAACGAGCGGTGGATAAAGTGGAGGCCCTCAACAAAAATTCAATTATTAAACACATCTCAAAAATACGTTAGCAAAACCTTTTTTTAGTTTTTTCAGACTGATGGTATCGGAGGGATACGAATCTCAGAAAAGAATAGCTCGAAAATTAAGCATGTATTCTCTCGCCAATCGTGCCTATTGGAAAGTAAATGTGGATCAGTTCGCAATAAATCAGAAAGTCACAGGGCCAATAGTAAAGATGGAATCATTAGCTGATTGCTGTTGAATACATATTACGGTTACAGGTAGAGGTTTGAAAGGCTTTTCATATCCCGCATAAAAATTTATTTGCGAAGGAACTACAGATCTCCAAAAAAACTCCAGTTACTGAACATTGGCGCAAGAGTTAGGAGGAACAGTACACGTCGATTGGAGCGCCCTTTTTCATTCTATAAATCACACGAAATTATGAAAAACCAAATGAGTCGAGTTCATTCATATAACACCCACATGCACGATGTCTTGTAACAGGGTGCAGACGAAGAAGCCGTCCATCATCGTCGACCCCTTCACGATGACGTCATGGAGACTTCCTCTCGAACAGTACTTCCACAACGACATCAACTGTGGTCCATCGAGACAGAAACCAATAAAGCGATTCAAATTGTCATTTGTGAGCTCTCGCATCTAAGAAAAATTTAACACTCAATAATGGAGGTACGATTTATCACTTAGTACTAGGTTTGGAACTCAAAATTTGCGTTCATTAGCTTTATAACTAGAGTTGTGCATAGGTCAGAAAACTGACTTTCTATAAACCTCGGCATAGAAAATCGATATATCGATATGTGCGTTCCAACGAACTGCGCTTGCTGAACTGACTAGAGTTGTTGTTGTTGTTGTCGTTGTCGTTGTAATAGTAAGTAATAGTAATAATGTACCAGTGCACTACCTCTTCTCTCATCCTTCACACACGAAAAAAGCACTCATCAAAGACATGTATCGAACCGCTAAAAATATGTAAACAAGGAGAAAGCAAAGGAACGACTTGCTAAACTTGGATCGAAAAAATCCATTTTCAATGGTTACGAAGCACAAGCCACTCTGGTCTGACCAAAAAGCAGGGTTATTCTCCAAAATAATGTTTCAAAGATAAGCAAGATCCCTTACAAGCTACCCTTTATATCAAACAAAATAAGTTACGCCATTAAAAGCTGTTTGAGAGAAAAAGGTTTTGGAAATTACATGGCGGATACTGACCTCCCACCCAATGTATGCTGTCAACTAGTCCCCAACCGCCTCTATGGTCGTTTGTGCGGCTCAGAAAATTGTGTGACCTGTCCTAACAGGAGTGACAGGGATTGCATGTGTTCAGGTACAATATATTTGATCACGTGTAAGGCATGCGGCGAAGACATTGGAGAAAAGCTTACACCGCTTTGTGTTCGCATAAAGCAACACCAAAATAGGAAACATGAAATTCGACGAAGTGCTCTTGTGGGTGCAAATAGAGCACGCAAGCACAATAGTAATGATTTTGAAGTGACCGTGCGGATCCTAGTGCAGCAATCAAAAACATCAACGCACAAAACTTTTGAGGCGTTTTGGATAAATTCAAAGGGATGAACCAGAAAGACTAATGCCTCACTATCACGCGTGACCTGGAGCCCTTTTTCAAATTGTTTTCTGACCTGGATAAGTCTAAACCTCATCCCACGTAAACAACACGCGTGTGGTCCCACTCGTAACAGCGCAGTGAGTAGCGTTTTAACAAAATGGTGTTTATTTATATGTTAGATCTTCGATAATACCATAGATTTTTCACCGAATTAAAAGGATATTAACATTTTTATTTACTGCCTATTCTTTTTAATGATAGGGCATGTTGTGAAACATAACCTCTATAATGCTGAGGTATTTGCAAAACTCCGGACCGCAGGTGTCCGTGGTGGAGAACGAACGTGCTATTATCCTTTCCGGGAAGTAAAGCACTTACCACCACACCATGCTGTTCCTTCGTTTTGCCTTTCTCTCAGCTAGTTCTATCAATCACTGCCATCAGCCTACGGTCCGAAGTTTTGCAAATATCTCACCATCATAGAAGTTATATTTCGCAACATACCGTGCCATTAAAAAGAATAGCAGTAAATAAAAACCTTAAGATTGTGATTATAACTATAGCCTCAGCTTAACTGGGTTCAATGCCGATTTAGGCTTCCCGGATCAATCCCATTGATGGGTGATGATCGATAGAACTAGCTGAGAGACAGGCGAAACGAAGGACCCACATGGTGTGGTGGTGACTACCCGGAAGGGATAATAGCTCGTTCGTTCCCTACCGCAGACACGTACAGACCGGAGTTTTGCAAATATCTCAGCATTATAAAAATTAAAAGGATATTGTTACATATAATACGCCCAATACATGTACTAATACATCTAATACGTCCATGCTCTGGAGATGGATAAATCGCCAAAGCGTCAGCCATCGAACAACAACAACAACAACATGAAAGTCAGCAACAACGACAGCGACAACTTATATCAACCTTCTATCAGCTAAACAAGGGCAGTTCGTAAGAATGTATATAAATATATTGATGCATAAGCATTTGGGGCTTGGGTACTTGATGTTAAAAACAATTTAGCAGGGCTCAGACATAAATTAATTAGTGAAGGCAAGAGTCTCCACATTTTTAGCGAAAAGACACAAATTTTTCTTTGTTCACAGAAAATAATCATAGTGTTCTCAAAGCGACGATTACCCTGAAGTTATGGCATTGGATAGGATACAAGAATCGAGGAGTGAATAGTGAAAAATCAGCTACTGGTATAATGAAGAAGAGAAGGAAGAAGAGAAGGATCATGTTGCTTTACATCTGCTTTTACACCGGAATTCTCTCTGCTTTTACGTATGCGTCAGAAACCTGGTCGCTACATAAACACGATGAAAAACCACTCAACACTATAGAAAAAGAAGGATGGCAGGACTATTCCGTACCTTAAGGGACCCGAAGCTCCACCTAGATCAACGACCAAAAGTCAAGATAACCATAGTGTTCTCAAAGCGACGATTACCTTCAAGTTATGGCATTCGATAGAAGACAAGAACAAGAAGAGACGCCATTCTATACGTCAAACTCTCGAAGAGAAGGTGGGCCTGGTACCTAACACGTATGGACGACAACAGGTGGGGAAAAGCCATTAGTGACAGGATTCCTTAAGGTATCAAATACATAGAAGGAAGACCACCTACCGGATATTCATAGTTCTTCACAAAAACGCGAAAAGAAAGATATGATGCTCAACGAGTCCTTAGAGCGAGCAAAACTAACTGGTGCACTCTTGTTTGCGACAGGAAGAAATAGAAGATTTACTGGCGCTCCTACCCCACAACATTTGACAATTAAAGCGAGGAAAAATGGGAGGTAACTTTAGCTGGCCTTTTCAGTAATTCGAGAAAGTATCTTGCTCTGCAAATGCTCAGGTGTGTTTTTGAAGAAGACAAAATTCGCAGCGGATTTCCAAACCCACCCTCAATTCCAAACACCGTGTACGGTAGATGCAAAGATACGAGCGAAACGAGTGTTAAAATCCACACGATATGAGAAAATGTGTGATATAAAAAACGGTACTAAGCACGCAACCTGTCTTATTTCCTGGCGACTCGCATCTACACTGTGCACCAGTGCTTCGTGTTTCATAGCGGCAACGCACTCCTTCTGAAAAGAATCTAAATCACTTGTAATTTCAAATTACGCCCAACCCTTGCCACCAATATTACACCTCTAGTAGTTCGAAATCTGTTAAAAAACAATTCATACCTGGTAGTAGTAAAAATTGAAGGTTTTCGTTTCTTTCTGAATTTCGATGCTCGCTCTAGTCAATGAAGAGCCAGTGCTGCTTTGTAATGAACGATGGCTGACCTCGCTCTTTTTCGAAAAATATGATTACTATCTATTTTTCTATTATTAAAATAATGTTTGAAGAAAATTTATTGGTTATTTGTCTACTAACCTTTTTGCCATTTATGCCTTCCAGGGCGCTAAAGGGTATCTGCCACATCCTGTTTGAAAGTTCAAACTCCCTTCTTCTCAGGCTGAAATTCGATGTTGAGTTTCAGAGCACCAAATTTCTATTCCACTATCCGAAATGTGAAACAGGGAAAAGCTAACCACGTGCTAATAGCATAGATTACAATATAGGATCTTATACAAAAACCTCTAGTACACTGCTTTCCATTGAGGTAATTTCTCGTTTGTCAAACAACACCACTCTGTTTCAAATTCGCAAGCAAGGATTCCATTGTATGTTAGTATAGCTACAGGGATACACAGAATACAACGTCTCTGTTTCCCTTTATATTAGGGAGATCTGAAAAAATGAGCAACATGCGGTGGCACGACATCCATCCGAAAACGTTTCCCCAACCTGTATTTCAACATCCATAAGTGAGGTCCGAACTAGTTTATATTTTAAAATATGCGCCACGAGAACGAACAAAAATGCAAGTACAAGTCTACAATCTTGAGTGCTCTAAGTGTGACGCATGCAGCTCGGTAGCAGGCACTTGCGAGCCATCTATGAATTCATTGAAGTCGCAAATGGTAAGGATGTGTGGGAGGAAAAGTGTGCTTAACAAGTTTAAATAAGCATATCCTGACAAGGTGATCGGTGAAAGATTTTCACGAAAGGATAATTTTCCCGTTTCTTCCAAGGTAAAGTTATTTTTTTCTGGAGCCTCCAAGGCGTTTTTTCTTCTGCTCCCATTTCGAATAGTGAAGCAGTTGAACAGACCAGATAGCGCCCAATAATCCAGGATCTCCTCCGCCATAGTACAGTTGATATTTAAGGCTATTCTGTTCGCTTTAAAATCGTAAATATTCAAACAGCAACTTTATCTTTTTTAAATCTTGATTTTTGGTTTTTTGAAGCTGAAATAGTACATTGTAAAATAGCGCGTCTGTATAGTGATGGAACGAAACCTCTTAAAACCTGTTGTGCATTTTACTTTTCAGATGCTCTAATTATTAATAAACAGACATCGGATCCAGTGAGGAATGTGATCCGAGAAATGATTGAGCAATGAAATCTTGCTGGTAATATGTTTCCAAATTATTCACAGTGAAGAAAAGTGTCACGCTAACAACCGGGATGTAATTGACGAATTCCTACAAGGAAGCGGAGCAGGCACTTCTTCTTAAGTTCGCTACCTATCGCCTTATTTTTGCTATCAAGACTTGGTTTGGTTTCTTTTGTTGTTTAGTTAATTTCGATGAATTTTGCAATTCGAACCTGTTGGCCCTTTTTCCGCAGTTTTCGAGTAAAATTTTTTATGTGAATGTCTAGAGAACAACAAGAAAAGCTGTTCATCAGTTTTAAGCCCCTTTTAGTTGAAGAATGAGAAGAGAACAATGTACACGACGATAGCTTGGTTTATTTGCTAAAGGTTTACACTAGTCCAAAAAAAAGATGAAAGGAAGAAGGTGAAAAGAGGTTATGAAGAGTTGGGCTCACTGGGGCAGTCACTGCTTTTTCACAAAGTTCTTCATAAAAAATTGCTAAATCCATTCAAAGTTTCTAAAGTAGTGCAAAAAACATGACAATTGGCGCCTTGTCTCTTTGAGTGGACACTCTTCACGTCATCACCCGCGAAATCAGCAGATATCAAGAAAAACAACCAAACA